TTTCAAATATTGTTGGAAAGAGGTTCTTAGCATTCTACAGACACACAGTATTGTCTGTAAAATAAAATCACTGAACTGTGATCTTGAGAAAGAGGTTTAAAAAAAAGTGTCCCAGTTCACTGCTAGTTGCCTACATTTGTGGTCCAAACACCTTATTTTGTGTTTTTAAGCAATTTTTTTCTTATTCAGTGAGAGAAATCTAGTCTCTGCTGGGCTTTAACGAGTGCATCAAAGTCAGGTTGGATGTCTGAGGTGGAGATGCGAAGCACAGCTGACACATGATCATCAGTGAGAGAGGATCTTTACCTGGATTTTGTAAACTTAATCATTGAAAATGCTTGTTCACAAATGTAGGTAGAGCCGAAGAGAACCAACATCTTCTGAGCACGTCTCCTCAGGTTTGGAAAGTCCTCCTTAAGAGAAGAGTAGAAATCCAGCAGAGATCCTGAATCTCTGCTTTCAAGTCCCAAACCCTCTTCAGCACTTTCCCCAGGCTGAGCCATCTGACAGCTGTGTGGAGTCCTCCAAAAGAGCCACAAACTGTCTGTGATTCATTGCCCGCGCCCTGATGAAGTTTATTACTTTAGTAACAACATCAGTAACATGGTTGATTTTTAGCACTGACTTGCACAACACATGTTGGTGTATAATTCAATGCAAAAACACCTATTTTTGATCTGCATCGATTTCTGTCACTTTATCTTGCATGCGTTTCAAAAGTCCGACATTTTTCCCTGTAAGATTTGGACAACCGTCTGTTGTGACACCTGACAGTCTCTCCCCTTTCAATCCCAGAGTGTCCGTGCACGCATTTACCTCTGTAGAAACATCACTCCCTGTCGTTGTCCCTTTCATCGACCGCATTGCTGCCAGCTCCTCTGTGAGCTTGAAGTCCGTTATCCCCCAGACATCACAGCTCCCGTCTAATGAGAAAAAGTCAAAACTTGCCACTTCACGTTGCAGCTGAAGCTCCAGGTTCCCCGCAATGTCCTCGATCCTCCTGGTCACGGTTCGCCTGGACAGCGGGATTTGCTCAAATGCGCCTTTTTTTTTCAGGACATATTAGTGCGGCAGAGTCCACCATGCACTCTTTGACAAACTCTCCCTCCGAAAACGGCTTGCTGTTTTTAGCTATTTTGTGGGATATCACAAAGCTGGTCCTGGATGCTGCATCCCTGGATGTGTGAAGCTTAGTAAAACAGCCTTGCTGCTTTTGCAACTTTGCTAGCAAAGCTTCGGATGTCCGTGCCCTCTCAGCATCAGATGAGTTCTTGTATTTTTCCGAGTGTTTCTTGTCGTAATGCCGACTCAAATTGTAGTCCTTAAACACGGCAATCTCCTCCCCGCAAACCAAACACACGGCTTTACCTCAGACTTCAGTAAAAAAAATACTTAGCAGTCCAATTTTTGTTGAAAATCCTGCATTCGGCATCTTTCTTTTTTTTTTCCATGAGCGGACATTTCTCGGGCTACAATCACCATGTCAACCGCGGGCACTTGTTGCTATACGTATTGCGTCATTGTGCACGTAAAAAACAACTTCAAAATAAAAGCAATGCAGCCTTAGCCCATGCATGAGGTAAAATGAGAAAATACATTTATTTTGTAATTTCCAATTAACCTTACGCGGGCCGGTCAAAGTCAACCAAAGGGCCGGATGTGGCCCGCGGGCCGTAAAATGCCCAGGTCTGCACTAGAGGATTGGCCAGACGTACGACTTATGCAAGTTACGTTTTCACGTTTGAAAACATTTAGGCAATTACATTTAGCAAACTTACACAATTTAAATCCCATCTAACAACAAATTACACAGCACAATTCACATTTGGCTGCTTGTGCACAAGCAGTCAACTATAATCTACCGTCCATGTATTAAATCCATAACATAACTTGTCCATGAAACACAGCATTAATAGTGTTTAAAACACATTGTCTATATAAAAACCATTGACCACAGGTGTTAAAACTGCTTTTTAATTTGCCCCTGAGGTTTCGATTTAGCAAGAGATGCGTAAGTGAACCCTTAGGAGAATTCAGCAAAGAGGCAGGTGTCATGTGTTTGTGTGAAGCTGCACGAGTAACACTTCTGGTGCATTCACAGGAAAGGAAAGCACCTGTCACATGAGGGAATGTGGAGTACACACACACACACGCACACGTGTGTGTGTGTGTGTGTGTGTGTGTTAGAGTGACACCAAGGGACAAATCCAGCCTGAAAAGTTATTTTACTGCTGCCACTTTGAATTGGAGCACATAGGGCGGCATGCTCCAGTCATCTGCCAGAATAAGAAATGAGTTGTTGTCAGTTTGTATTGCGACTCTGTGAGTCAACCAGGCTAATTTAAGCTCCACTGCTTCTATTTATTGAGTGAAGGAAAGTTCTGTTCAAATAGAGATGCTCTTATATCATAAATGATCACAGTTGTTACACATAAACCCTGTCAGGAGAAGTGAAGTTCAGTTTTTGGACTTAGATTTTACATTTAGATTATGCTGGATGGAATACATCACCATGTGAAAAGGATTTTTCTTTACATTTCTAAAAAATAAACTTCACTCTAAATGTGATTTAATGGTTTATAGGGAGAGTGTGGACTTTTTATTTTTCACAAAAACGTGGCAACAGGGTGGGGATTTTGACCCATTCGTTAGTAATCTTATCTTTGTTTACATTGTTTATTTTATTTCATCTGTGAAAGGTGCTTCGTATATAACATTTCCCTAATATATTCATTAATAAAGTTAAAGTCCCATAGTCATCATCACACACTGGTGAAATTCATCTCTGCATTGACCCATCCCCATGGAGAGAACCAGTGAGCTGCAGTAGTGGCTGCGCTCGGTAACTATTTGGTGGTTTAACCCCCCAATACAACTCCTTGAAGCTGAGTGTCAAGCTGGGAGGCATTGGGTCCCATTTTTAAAGTCTTTAGTATGAACTGTCAAGGAATCAAACCCCGATCTCCCAGTCCCTGGGTGAACACTCTACCACTAGGCCACTGAACTGGATCAGGATCTGTTTATTTTTTTGCCATTTTATATTCCATTTTAGAGATCAACAAATTTTGTTTTGTTTCTCTCATAAATTCACGAAAAAATTCAGGAAACATATTTTTCTTAGAAAATGTGAAAATAATTTCTTTTCTTAAATTCTGATGGCCTTTCAGGTCTTTTGTGCTTGCTTCTAATATCCTGGTTGAAAAGCAGTTGACAAGATCATTTCCAGAGCAAATCTTCAAATACACTACAGCTAAAAAAGAAAATAATGACATGACCTATGTAACATCATGTGATGTTAAATATTTATTTTATCTCCTTTTTTACATTATTTACATTTGTTTTTGACCTTGTGGCAGAACAGAAAATATTAGTCATAATTGAAGTAATTTCTGCTTGAAGATTCTTTGTCAAATAAATAATTTCTCTGTAAATGTGCTAATTAAATTAATTATTTAGTGTAAAGGATGCTTGCAGACAAATAACCCTATTTTTGTATGTTTGAAAATTGATAACTTCTTCTTGCACACTATAAGTAAATTGTAAAGAAGGTTAAATCTGATTCCCATAATTCAATAACAAGCAGAACTTTTCTTTGTAAATTTGGTAAAAAGCAATGAAACCCTGATGGTGCAGGAAGTGAAGGGAACCCCCAATGACGTCCCCTAGAGAGAATTGCAGCAAGTGGACGGTGTGGGAGTCGATCTCAAAATATAAATCTTCTCGAACAGCTGGTGTCTCCACGTCAGCGGCGTCCCTTCCCCGCTGTCGAGAACAGAACTAAATCATGTCAGTGCCAGCTCACCCCTCTCAGCAGCGCCAGTGGTAGAGCCCCACCTCACTCCACCAGGGCACATGTAGGGTGATGGGAGAGTGAGTAAAAAAGCATGGAGATTGAAAGTTCTGTCTTTAAGAAGCTACTGGAAGACCGAAAAAAGCAGGATTTGTGAGCTGTTCTAGTTTAAACCTAAGGATCCATTTTATGAGGGGTTTCCTTTTAGTATGGCACCCAATTAAACACAATTAAGGTAAGACATAAAATGTTAGTACTAAAATGCATGCATCATATGTTTGACCTACGATGAGGACTGGACTAACTCAACTCTTCAAAACAAATTGTAACTCTAAACCTGAATTTATAATCTCATAATGTGTCAACATTTAGAGAGATCACAAGAACAAACTGTGTTTACAGCTTCCTCGCCTGCCCTTTCAGTCTTGTTGCTACTGCGCCCTGGAGTTGTTGTTGACATAGGTTTGGAAATAGCTGCAGTCCGAGCGATCCACCATCTGTCCCGAGGGGTCGCTCAATTTGGAACACATATATGAGCCAGCCTCGGCCATGTATATGTCATGTATCATTTACACATCCTACATAAGGGAAGCCTGTCATACTTTAATTCTTGCACCTCAGAATATGGGGGAAATTTGAAAATGTGTTTGCCCTGGGTTTGATCTTGTGATTAAGCAAGCAACTCAAAGACATCATGTCCTCTTCCAGTCTATCTCCAAACACTCAAACTGGCACTGTTCCTCTTGTTTTTGGCTCATGTGCTCAAGAATTTTAATGTGTTGGGCAGATCCAACACTGTTTCATGTCAGTCCCTATGGGCTCATGGTGACGCAATGTGGCATGGGCTTTGGAGCTGCAAATTGACTATTAATAGAGTTGAAGGGGTTGTTTTCTGTTGGTTGGACCGCATGCTGAACTTAAGGATTGCAAGAGGTGGAATTTGCACCCTAACCTCCCTTTTGTCCAATGACTGTTGGAGATGGGCATCAGTTCCCCATGACCCTGAACAGGAACTAGTGTGAAATAATGGATGAATGTTTGAAGGCCCTTTACCTTGACCAGCTCTCATACCAAGATGAGGAAATTGCCTCAGAAACCTTTGTACTTTTACCAAAAATACTTTCTTTTACTTTGTGTTTTGATATGTGAAACATAGTAAACAGACATAGAAAGAAGTTTGAATTTAACATGTCTTTTTATACTTTTTCAGATGTTGGTCACACCCAAGGTCCACTTGATGGAAGTCTATACGCCAGAGTTTGCAAAAAAGACTCTTTGGAAGGAGTTGTTACCATCAATGGTCTCCCAGTCTGTGAAAACCCCTTAAAGAATGCAGAAAACTCATTGCAGCAGACCAACCATCCACTACAAACAACTGAACAGGCTCTTCCTGTGACAGGACACACCTCCCTACCTGCTGTAGACCATACCCTATCTGTGAGCAGTGACTCAGGCAACTCTACCGCATCTATCAAAACTGATCGTACCGATGAGCACAGCCAGTCCTTGCAGATAGCTGCAAGCCACAACAACCCAACAACAACCCACCCACCACTCAGTCCTCAAGAGAAAAGAGAGCTTGACCAGCTTCTGAGTGGTCTTGAGGCCCCAACTCAACGACAGGCCTATTTATCCACATCAACCAGTCCAGGAGGAGGGGTTCGACACCTGGTCCCGGCACAGGTTCACGTCAACGGAGGCCATACTAGGCTGCTTGGGGCACCTTCAACAGAGGAAAGAGAGACAGATATTCTTGATGAAGAGTTGCCAAATAGTCAAGAGGGCAACAGTGTGGATAGTTTAGGGACCCTCTCATCCCTAGAGGGTCAAGCAACACCCGCTAGCCTCTGTTATCAATCACAGACACCTGTCAGTGTCCAGAACGACGGTCCATACCTTGAGAGAAGTGTTCTTGGGGAAAAGCTCAACGAAATGCCTGTCCATGGAGTACAAACTCCTATAGCGATGCAAGAGGGGTCTGTAGACTCACCATCACCCCAGGGGGAATACAGCAATTACCAAAATGGAGGAGGGATCTATCGTTCACACTCCTTTGGGAATCAGCCACCCAGTAGCCCTGAGACCAACTCTAAAATTATGCCAAGAGCCCCTGAGAGGAGCACCAGTAGCCGAGAGGCTGTTCAAAGGGGTCTCAACCACTGGCACCAGCATAGTCTTCCAGATGATCCATTTGGGCCTCCTCTTCAGTCAACCCACAGCTTGCCCCACTTTCCAACCCCTGCCTCTCAACGAGACATTGAACAGTCCATTGAGGCACTCAACATGCTAATGCTTGATTTGGATCCAATCAATTCCCAAATGTCTAAGTCTAACAGTGCACCAACTGGGGAAAACAACTTCAATTCAACCCACCCCCCTTTTTCCCAGACCCTGGTCAGGCCTTCCTACCAAGGGGACTCTGCCATCCATGGCTACAGCAATTCTGGATCAGTAAACAACACATATCATCAGGCCTCGCGATCACCTGGGAGGGTGCCACACCACAGTCCAGTTACAGATTCCCCAACCTACCCTTCCCAGAGGTCCAACGCTGGCTACCAACACCAGAACACCACCCCAACACACACCCCTGAGCCATACCTTCAAACTCGCCAATCACCCCACCACTACCCCAGTGATTCTTCTAACCTCAACCCACAAAAACCGGTGAACTTGTATGCAGGCAGCAGTGTTTCACACTCCCCAGACCTGCAGAGATCATCTCCATATCCAGTTTACAGCACCTCTTCTTCTCCACTTCCCGTTCTTACCCCACAACCCAAGGATACATCTTCTTCGCCCTTACCCAGAGAGCAAGACCCAGAGGAGGAGACGCTAAACCTGGAAGGCCTAGTTGCTCACCGTATTGCCGGTATGATTTTTACGTTTCACACCAATTATTGTTGTACTTTGTTTTTATTTTAGATCATTGACAGTAAAGTACTCTATTTCACTACATATCTGTTAGATGTTTTAATTTACACAGCAGGCAGAGTTTCATAAAACCAAGACTATCAAATATGAATTTTAAAACTTTTTTGTGGTAGATCTGTTTTGTAAATGACAAACTGTATGGTCTCACATTTATTCATTCCCTTTTAGACATCAATTAAAAAAATAACAAATGACCACAGAAATAACTTCTGGGGAAGCCCATCCCCAAGCATGTAAATGGGTAGAAGTCTATCTCCAACCAGTAAGATGTTCCTCTGACGGATGTTTGAGCCAAAGAATCAGTGAGGACTACAATTAGTCAAAATGCGTGTTGATGAGCCACAAAGCATCTCGACAATGTCGTTTTCACCGATGAGAAAAAACTGCAGGTTTCTGGCAAAATATATGTTGTTTATGTTTATTCATTTAGGAGACGCTTTTATCCAAAGCAACTTACAATTTATGACCTATAGGGCATGTTGTGATCTGTGGGAGAAACCGGAGTACTCGGAGTAAACCCACGCATGCATGGAGAGAACACGCAACTCCACGCAGAAAGGCTGCAGCCGAGCTGAGTTTCGAACCTGCAACCTTTGTGCTGCGAGGCAACAGTGCTAACCACTGCGCCACCATGCAGCCCTATCAGCTGTATGTTTCCAAATATAATGCCAACAAATAACTCCAGAACTATTCTTAAGTTCTCTGAGTCCTGATCTAACTCCTGTTGACCATCTGGGGAAGGAACCTTTTAGACATGAGACAGGCGGAGCAGTTTGCATGAGGGGTAGGTCCAGGGGCACCTCCAGAAAATTTTGATATGGGTGGCTAGACGAGGCCATAGACATTTTTGGGGTGGCACACCAAATTGATCCTTGTGGTAACTCTGGGAGAGTTTAGCCTGTGGCGATGTATTGCATTGCTCCTTTATTCAGTTGTATTAAAGATAATTTTAAAAAAGCAGCATGTATCCAAAACATTTAATAATAATAATAATAATTGGCAATTTTCTAGGGGTGGCCATGGCCACCCTTGGCCACGCCTTGGGGGCATCATTGGGTAGGTCAGAAAACAAGTGAGAAATTTCACATTTTTGCCCCCATATTGTCTTCAGCAAAATGTTATGGGTTCCATCATTTTAGTCCAGATGAGTTACAAGGCCTTTAACAGTTTTATAATCATCTGTAAGGGAATGAAAATATGTAGACCCCAACTGATTTTTTTAAGTTACTAAATGAGAGAATGGGCCTGAATCTAAACTGCGGACTGAGGCTAATAGACGACTCTGCAGCAGATTGTGAAGCAGTGCAGCCTTCAGCAGTTTGTGTTACAGATTGGTCATGTGGCGCGGTACCACCAGAATGACCCGGGCTCATAAAATTAGCTCTGCAGCTGAAATGAAGCAGAGCTGGTTAGAGTGAAGATGGGAAGCAGAGCAAGAATAGCCTAAGCCTTCAGAAGCATCCCTGCTTTATCTCCGTCCAGGATTCAGGTGGAATGCTTCAAAAGCTAAACGCTCCCTCCCAGTGGAGGATTGATGACACTGCCACTTTATTTCTATTCTGATTCTTTTCTTCCCTTTTTTATTTGTTTAATCCATTTTTATTCTCATCATTGCCTCCTCATCCTCTTCCACCTGCTGCCTCCCCTCCCACACCTGAAATTCCTCCCCTGGAGCAGAGTACAACGCTCGTATTCGAGGCATCAGTGAAAGCATGACACCACAACAATCTGACCGCCATCGCTCCTATTCCTTCTCTGGTTTGTCCACTCTCCCTCACTTTTTGTTTGAGATTTTTCTCTGCATCCCAACCATGGCTTTCCCCCTTTAAGATTATTTCCTTCATTACTTTCCCCACTGCTTTTCACTCCTTTGTTTATGTTCAACTGCCTTTGGTTCTAGAAAATGTTTTACATGACGTTACACAAACAAGTTTAAAATTCAAACATGGTAAATGTTTCCTGGGGGCGGGTGTTTAGGAGTTCGCTCCAGAGGAATGAGCCCAGAGGTAACGCAGGAAATGGGAAGACGCCGGACCACAAGCGAGGGTCAGTACCAGAGCAGCCATGACAGCATGTCAGCGACGCATTCGCCGGACTTCACCAACAACCTGTTGCTCAATCCAGGAGGGAGACCCAGAGAGGTACAATCCATGAAGTCCTATATGAGTCAATTTTCATCGTTTGAAGATGGTTTATAGATTGTTTAAATTCAGTATAATAAAATGGTAGAATAAAATATGCCCATAATTACATTCACTTTGTCCTCAACCCTCCCACTGTCTTTATGGGTGACCCTGCGAGGAAAGTTGAGGTCCACTTGGCAGGGGTGAGGTGGTGCTCACTCCTCACCCCTGCCACATGGGCCCAAGAGATAAACCATCAACCCTGCTCAATGGTCAACTTTCCTCATGGGGTCACCCATAAAGACAGTGGTAGGGTTAAAGGTGTGGTTCACTCATTTTTATATTTGCAGTGGTCTCTAGTAGGAATTAATGCCTTGTAAGTTTTTCTTAGGGGGAAAAATATACTGATGTACCACTTCCAGCAACTAGCAATGACCCACATCACTTTTGAGCTTCAGATGGAGTATTTGGAGTCTTATTTCCTGATATTTGGACATCTCGCCACAGATTGGATAACAGGAACACGACTCTACCACTGATCTGCAACGTTGATGTTTTATCTCCACAAATAACACAAGCCTAGAGGGGATCTTCTATGTGGTGGAGTTGCTAATGCTAACATTTAGCTTATACTAGTCGGGACATTCCCTGCTGTTTCCTGGATGCTAAAGTAACAACAGCCTTCCCCGTCTAATCAATTTCCCTCTGGGATTAATAAAGTATTTTTGAATTTGAATTTGAATTTTGAGTCAAGATGGGTGAGTCCATAAATGTTAAGTGACAGTGTGACGTAAATCTGTCAGGATTTTCTAATCCTAGAGTTTCACCATCTATTTTCTATCAGAAGCTAATGCAGGAGATAGGTGTAGGAGACTGTTTTCATGTTCAGCCTGCATGAAAAACTCAAAGTGACCAATAATCAGAACTAATTAGGGACGCAACAACACCACTTTTTTCCAAACCGATACTTGGATCTGAGTACTCGCCGATATCGATACTTCTACCACACACAAAAAAAAAAATGCTCTGAATTGGAATACAGGTTTTATTTTCTTCTCTGCTTTCATTAAGAAATGACTGTGAGGTAGATAAAAAGTAAAATATGTTAATAGAAATTATCACAAAACTAAAATATTAGGTGAACAGAAATGACAAGTCACAGTGAAGCCACTTTCAAGCAACTGCATTGGTATTGGTTACTGGTATCTGTTAATTTTTACTGATATTGATACTGGTGTCGGTATCTGTATCAGCACCGATTCCGATACCAGTATCGCTATCGGTGCATCCCTAGAAATAATCATTAACATTTTTTTTCAGTAATCCACACCTTTAAAGGGGGTTTCAGTCATCCTAGTAACATTTAAACAGCTGTAAATAGTAGCCTAGTGAACTAGACCAAATTCTAGGAAAGCACCATTAGAACCTCTGCAGCCCCTAGCAGCTTTCTGGCTGGCCAATCACAGTTCCACAGTTTTCTATAGGGGTTTCAAGCACATAGAGAGCTGTGATTGGTCGATAATGGTGGGTCCATCACTGCGCTCTATCTGCTTTGTGAACCAATCACAGTGTTTTATCCGCTTTGTGGGCTAATCAGGACCCTCCATTCATCTGGTGGGTGGGGTGATGCAACAGAGTGGAACAAGATGGCGACAGCTCGATTAAAATGGCTTTTTAATCAATTTTGGACTATTTGGACTTGGGCTTTGTTAGAATCAGGATCAGATAGATGTATTTAAGTTCTTTATTTAGAAAAAAAGGATGCATTTTTGCCTTCCTCAACAGCAGACTGCCTCTTTAACCGACATCTGTTGCGGTGAGTAAAGTTTGAAAGACAACGGTAGAGCCTGCCCCATGACCAAGAGCTGTCAATGGAGCTTTGCTAGACTAAATAATATATTTATTTAGTCTGGCTTGACAGGCTAGTAAATTAGAGCATTTATTTAGTAATTGTATTGAGTTTAAAGATTGACTTTGTATTTAACGTGCCTAAAGAGTCTCATTTTTAAAATATTTGATGTAACTTTGTATAATAAAAATGGACTTTTGATCCCATTGATAATGTTGTTTTCTAGTCCTACAAGAAACCTATTGATCAAAATGAAGGTCTTCATTTTATTTTATCTTAATAAAAGCTTTTATTATTTTGGTCAAATCATTCATTTTTGTTTTTAGGCTAAACATATAATTGTTGTTTCTTTTCCAGGGTCTGATGCACAGCTACCGAGAGGCATTCGAGGACGGTGAAGTCGCACGGCTCGCTAACAGCCCCACCTATGGAGGCAGCGGTAAGAGAGCTGACCCATGACCCCCAGTGTCTCTACAGATGCATGGTGCATTATATGTTATTTAAAAAAGATTCCCTACTTATTAATAATGCAAAATGAAAATATAAGAAAAATGCAAAGAATTACATAAAATACAGTTCTGATTGTTGTTTTTGGTTGAACCAAATTTTATTGATTAATTATGACTTTTAAGTTAAATTCAAACAATGCAATCATCAGAGTCACAACATAAACTTTCAAATCCAGTTTTCTACTGGCAAGCATCAAAATTCAAATCTTTGACTCAACATTAACAAACTCGTTGAAAGACGTTTAGTAGCAGATGAAGCTTAGTGTCTCCTGACAGTCGGTAGCTTCCCACACACCTTCTTCTAGAGGTGCAGCTTCACTACTTCCTGGTCCCTCGCTATCTAGCAGATTGTTCACTAATTCTAAAGAGGAAGAGGGGTTGGAGGTAGATCCAGAGCTGTTGTCCCTCCATCCATTCACCTTCAAGGCTGCACACTCCAGATTAACCCTGGGACACCCGGGTTTTCCCCCCAACCCCCAGGACTCGTAGCCCAGCGGCTGATTGTCCAACCACAGCCACCCATCACCAGGGAAGAAGTGCAGACCAATCCAGACGTGTTGTGTGACACCAGCTTGGTTTAACTTCCTCTGAATCAGCTGCATCTCCACCTCGGATGCCACGCTGGCCAGCATGTTGTGGTTGTCCCTGCAGTACTGCCAAGCTGCCTCCCAGGTGCTCCTCTGCTTTACCACGATCGGATTGTAGCAGAAAAAAGGAATTTGAGAGAACCCGTAAAAATTGGCCATATTCGTGGTTCCAGTTGAATCCCAGAACATCCAGGAGATCCTACCACCTCCCCACCACATCCACTTCTCAGTATCGTCAGTGGTCTTCATCCCGATCCAGCTGAAGAGATCTGTATTCCCAGCCATCTGCATCAAGTTTATATCACGTTTACTGCTGAGTGGAGCCAGGTCGGTGTACTTTTGCCGACAATACGACTGAGCTGCAAGCCAAGTCCGTGCCTCCTTGACGTAAACGTATTTACCAAAAGCTCCGAAGAAGCTCAGCAGGATCAAGATGCAGGTGAAGGTTTGCCCCATGGTTCTCTGTGTCGGTGAGACTCTCTGGGAGGATGGAAGATGCACCCGCTGGCGTTGTTTGTTCTTTAAAGAGTATTTGCATTAGGTGGGCCTCGTCATTCACTGAGGCGTTCAGGCGTCATCTGTGAAGTCACTGGAGCTGCTGCTGCTTTATGTAAAAGATCTCAAAACGTTTTGCTTGCAGCTTGTTGCAGAAATGCTGGAATTTTTTTAATTGAGCGTCATAAATTTAGGCCAAAATAACAATGATTTTCACAGCGCAACCCAGGTGATTACACATAAATTAGAAGGTTAAATGGAGGACAGATGGTCTTATAACATACTACAGAACTTTGTTAGTTTGTCTGGAGCATGTAGGTGCACGTTAACTCAATGCCAAAGAGAAAAGTCATCACCTTAAGCAAGAGTCTTACTGAAAACTAACTGTGGATTGGATTTGCAAGGGGGTTTCCAAAATGCCTTAACCCTCCCACTGTCTTCATGGGTGACCCCGTGAGGAAAGTTGACCATTGAGCAGGATTGATGGTTTATCCCGTGACAGGGGTGAGGTGGTGCTCACTCCTCACCCCTGCCACGTGGACCCAAGGGATAAACCATCAACCCTGCTCAATGGTCAACTTTCCTCACGGGGTCATACCCGTTAGGACACTGGGATGGTTAAAATGCTTTCACAGGATTCTCGTTTTTCCTCGCTTGATGTCACTGAAATTTCAAAAGCATTTCAGGATTTTCCAAAGCAGGCTTTTGGGGATTCTGTTTCTATCTTCGTTTACAAGTTTTACACAGTCGGTGCGTTACCATGCTGTGTTGAGGAGTCTGGAAACAAAGACAGTTTTTAAAATTCCTAATGTCATAAAATTACCAAAAAATGACAGAATTTCAAACAAATTAAGACAATTTCAGATAAATCCACAAATGTGTGTTGCGGATGGGTTTTTTTTGGCACTATTTTGGCTAAAGCCTAGTTATGCTTCTCTGTCCGCTCCACTTGGCAGAGACACGTGTATTGATGGAGACGTTTTGCCTTCGGACTTCTCCGTCACCTGCAAAGCGAATAAAATATTCTAGATATCTTTGGCTTTCTTTTTGTTTGTTGCTTAGAAGGAGCAATGCCGTTGCTCTTGAAAAATTTAAAGGAAGTGGCGTCCTCACCAATCACAAGCCTGCGCTCTCTGTCTCATTCAATGGATGTTCACCTTCTTAGTGTCCTACAACCCCAAGGTGCGACCATCTCCAGCAGGCAAGGGGGGTTAAACATAACTTAGGCTTAAGGTTTTGCTCTTGCTAGCCATCTGAGGCCCTGTCCACACGTAGCCGGGGATCTGCCAAAACGTAGATATTTTTCTACGTTTTGGCCTGTCATCCACATGAAAACGGAGTTTTTTCACACGAAAACAAATCTTTTTAAAAACTCCGGCCAAAGTGAAGATCTGCGTTTTCTCCGTTTTGGGTGTCTGCGTGTGGACAGACAAAACCGGAGTTTTGGGTGTCTGCCTGTGGACAGACAAAACCGGAGTTTTAAGGTCCACAACGTCACTTTCCGCGACAAAAAAATGCTGCCATCACGTGTGCGACCTGTGTTTACACTAGCCGACAGCATGGATGCCCTCAGAGCTGCGCTCGCTTTATCAGTTGTCCAAGCGCTTTTTGCTTGTTTGTTTTTGCAAGCGGAATTACTGCTCCTTGCGGAAGACCACAGACGAAGGACGAGGTTAAGAACGGGGGAAGTACTGCCGCCAACAGGTCTGGCATGTCCTTAACAACGTATTTATCCGGGTACGTGTGGACAGAGTTTTTTTTAAACGAGGTGGTGTGGATGCAAGTTTTTGGAGGGGTAGATATTCAGGTTTTTTTTTAAAACGGCTACGTGTGGACTAGGCCATCGTGTTGTTACAGCTGTTGCTGTTTTGTCCCAGAAAGCTGACTCTGCAGAGGACAATCAGTGCATTGCCTCCTCCTCCTACCTGCACGGTGGCACTCACTTGGGCTATCACCTCTGAAGCAGCTTAAAAGGGAGAGCTGCCAGGAGGAAGGGAGAGTCTGGATCTGTGCCAGTTCTCTCATGTGCTCCAATTGTTGTGTTTTAATGGCTTTTAAATGGGTTTTAGTTGTTTAAGCTTGGTGAAGCATAACTACTTTTAGAGGTTTTTAACAGACGAGGGACCAGAGTGCTGGCGTCCTCTTGGCTCCCAAACTTGTGTTTAAGTCAGTGGACTTTGTTTTGTGAATGTTTGGGAGCGTTCGGATATCTGTTTTAAACATAAACCCATGGCCATTTTAACAGTGTGTTTTAAGTACTTTTAGTTTTGGAGCTTTTTGTCATTTTAAAATCCTTTAATCATATTAAAATCCTTTTAATAAAATCAATGTTTACAATTTCCCCACCTGAAACACATGCCTCTGTGTTACTCCCTGTCCTTCTCCTTACCCCCCAATAGAGGCTGTAACAGTGTCAAATTCAAATAGTCCAAATTTCTACACACCCATTGAGTTAGGAGGTGAAAGAAACTTTCACACCACAGAAATGAGGTTTGAATGCCTCTATTCGGGGGCTTCGGGAATAAGTCAGAGGTAGAACACTCTTATTTGCATGTACAACAGGCATGACTTCTCTTTAGTGGATTTGGGTTTTTGTAGCTAAATTGAAACAAGAAAATTTGCATTATGCATTTAAGAAATTAGAGTTGTTAGTTAGTTAGTTAGTTAGTTAGTTAGTTAGATTTCATCCTCTCCATGCTGCTGTTTCAACTAATTCAGTCTTTCTGGGGATCTCGTGATTACTATTCTGTTATTGGTTTATTTTTCTCCCTTCACATATTGTTTTTTCCAAATTTTTACTTTTTCCCCATTTTTATTACCATATAGCTTTTTTTAAAATGTCAGTTTTTGTTTTTGTGAAGCGCCTCGTAGTGTTTATCTTGAGAAGCGCTATCCATCCATCCATTTTCAGCCGCTTATCCGGGCTTGGGTTGCAGGGGGCAGCAGCCTAAGCAGGGAGGCCCAGATTTCCCTCTCCTCAGCCACTTGAGCCAGCTCCTCGGGGGAAATCCCAAGGCGTTTCCTGGCCAGCTGAGAGACATAGTCCCTCCAGCGTGTCCTGGGTCTTCCTTTAGGCCTCCTCCCAGATGGACGTGCCTGAAAACCTCACCAGGGAGGCCTCCAGGAGGCATCCTAACTAGATGCCCGAACCACCTCAACTGGATCCTCTCAATGTGGAGGAGCAGCAGATCTACTCCGAGCCCCTCCCGGATGACAGAGCTTCTTACCCTATCTCTAAGGGAGAGCCCAGCCAACCTGCGGAGAAAACTCATTGTGGCTGCTTATATCCACAAGCCTGGTTTTTTGCCTCTCTGACCACCCGGGCCGCATTCCGCTTGGCACCCATTAGGGTGGTGTAGTTTGTATGGTTTTTCCCACTGCCAATCATCAGTCCAATAAATGATGATGGGCGATATATTCGTGCATGTGATGTCATGATACATGGACTGATTTACGAAAACAGAAGAAATACAAACACAGAGGTTTTTTTTCTTCTTTTTTTTCTGGAAGCGCAGCATAAACAAAACTTTTGTACCCGTTTTGACACACTTGTCCAAAATAATTATTCTATAGCAATGATTTGCTTTAACATTAACTAGGGGTGCACCGATTTCAGGTTTTGGCCGAACACCGATCTTGAAGTCGGGGCCAATACATCAGTGCACCCCCGTTCCTGATAAGCCACTCCCCCCACCTCCCCAACCCCAACTCTTACCCGCATGCACACGATTCAAAGTGAGCAATTACAAACTTTATATAGACATACAGAGTTGTGGCTCTTACGGAGGTTTGATTTTTACTATCGGGTGTGTTATTTGGATTTTATAAATATCATTTTTATAAATATATTCTTCAGCGACATCAACAAAGCCAAATTATTTGAACCCCCTGCAATCATGTGTGTGTGTGTGTGTGTGTGGGGGGGGGGGGGGGGGGGGGGGGTCACTCACCCCAGGTTGGGAACCACTGGGTTAGACCATCAGAACACAAGTAATTTTTAAAAAGTAAAGCTAATTTTGGTGATTAGAGAGATGAGATCAAAGAAGGATATTAAGTAAAGCACAGCGGTGGAGTGCTGATGGTTTGAGATTTTATGGCGGTCTGATAAAAGTTCTTGATTGGTTTTTAAAAGATGATTCTTTAAAGGGGCAATGATGCCAAACAGTGCTGACTCAGATTGGTCCAATAAATTTAAGACGATTCATTGTGTGTACTGAAACTCTAATTTCCCTCTGGGATTAATAAAGTATCTTTGAATCTTTAAACAAGTAGAAAAATTGAGCTTATTGTCAATGCGATGCAGTAGTTAGATCGAAACAAGTTAATCATTTGGTTAAGCTACAGGAGCATGGCAGGTGTGTGCAAATTTTATTTTCTTTTTCCAGAGGACATCATCTGTCATTTTGACATGTGTTATTACTGGAAAAGACAACAAGATAAGATGTTTACATGAGACTAAAAGCCATGTTTTTCCAAGAAAACTGACTTTTAAAAAATTATTTTACTAATTGATCCTGATTTAGTTTTATAATTTGATCAATTAGATGATCTAGTTAATATATTAAGAAAAAATGAACTGATTAGTCAGTGTGGTTGGTGGAACATTGTATGTTTATGCAGATGTTTTTAAGAATGGGCCCTGCCTTCTATTTTGACCTTCTATTTGGAGCTGTTCGGGCTCCTCCTACCTTCTTACACGATTAAACTTGGCTCTCAGTAAAATTCAGTTGAGCTCATTGTTTATATTATAAAATTAAATTTACTTTATTTAAGGGTTAATATAACCCTTTACAGTCAGCTTGACAGCCAAAGTGCTGTACAAACCTAATCACGAACAAAAGTACATATAAAAGAGTTTGTTAAAAGGACAAAAAAACAAACTAAAGAGTAAATAGAAGCCAGAAATCTAGAATGCATTTTCTTCAATAAAAAAATATATATATTTTTTTACCTGTAGACGATTTCATTTTTTGTTTAATCAATTAGTCAATAACAGACACTAGGGGGTGCTAAAAGCAAGTAAAACTGCCTAGCCGTAAAGCGCAACTGACCAATTAGATGTTGTTATGCATCATTTTTGCTTCTGTTTTAAATACAACAGTGTGAAGACCTTTGGTGAAAATATTTTTTTCTTTTTAGCCCGTTCTACTCCGGGTTTGACAAAGACGCCTCTGTCTGCTTTGGGACTAAAGCCCCATCAGCAGGGTGGATCAGGTCAGTGTACAGAGAAAAATGTAAAATTCTTCAAACCAAATACATCTTCAGGGTTTTCCTTCTCTGACTGAGTACTGCTCTGATGCTTACTTACATGATGACAGCTCTTTGTACTGGACACTCCTCGTGCTTTCAGCTTTATTGTCTTCCTGTCTCCTCCTCCTCCATCTTTCTTCCTCTCGTTTATTTGCCATTTGTCTTTTCTTGCGGTCAGAGTCTGATTGTAAAAAGGGAGAACAAGGTATGGACAAAATTGTATCACTCTTTTTGTTTCGCTGCGACCAAATGTTTTCATTTCCCATGTTTCCATAAAATGATGTTTAGGATGAATGAATTCTTGTTTCCGTAGCAGCAGGTTTTAGGTGTTGACCGAGTGGTTCTGTGTGGGTTTCACAGATAATCGGAGTGTTGTGGACTCAAGGGCACAGCCGTTCAACTCTGCTCTCTCCTCAAGCAGTCCCATCCACAACACTGATGGGTGAGTGATTTTACTTCAGGTTTTTATGGATTTCTTTCCATTTACAAATTCACATCATAACTAAAATATCAAATTTCATGAGGCAAAGGGAGCCGTTGAAGGAAGTCATTTGAAGTGGCGTAGACATGTGATTAGACTGACTTTTCTGAAGCTTTTCTGGGCATTAACGGTCAAGGAGACTCCAGGGAAGACCTAAAACTCACATAAGAGATTGCTTATTCTGTTTAGTCTGGGAAAAGCTTGAAATCCCTAAATCAGATGACTCATGGTGGCCCATTCTTCATTGTTGGTGCTAGAAGTTTCTTAGAAATTGTTGTTTGACCACCTGCCTCACAAGAATTGACCAAAAGTTCTCAATTTACGATCTAATGAGTTCCCTTGGACCAAGATCTTCACAAATACAATGAATTTGGGCATGTTTTTTTTTTTGTAAGCTTAATGCCATGGCCCAAAGATTCATAATGGTTCGAAGGAGAACATCAACATCTCAAATTTACACTGAGGTCATCTTAAATTATTGTCGAGGATTTCCACATTTTGTTTTTTCAATTTGAGGGAAAAGAGCAAAACAACAAGGTATTTATTTGCTTCTGTGTTTAGAAGAAGAACTGGTTCCTCAGATGTCGTCCAGCACAGACCCGGCTCTCCCGAAGGCTCCCAGGTCGACATCATGGGTGTCCACACTATACCTGGCAGCCCAAACACCCTTCACCGCACAGTGGCCACCAACACACCGCCCAGCCCCGCCCTCCAGAGACGCTTAGGTCAAGGCAGCCCCTCCCTAGCAAGACAACCCCCTCCAAGCGGCGTCCCCTTAAGCCCTCTAATAGGTCGAAACCCCAAAACGGCAGTGGCTGGTGTCCCTCCAAGCCCGCTAATGGGACGACGAGCAGCATCGAGTGGTCAAAGTACACCAGATGAGCTGGGTGCTGCCTCCCGCCAAGGGAGTACCCAACCACCTCCCACGCCTGCCTTCCCTGTCTCCCCACAGCTGCCTGAGAAGAGACACATGTCCAGCGGAGACACAGAAAGAACAGACAACAAGAACCTGACCCCAATCAGCGGTGGCAGCACGCCAAACCTATCTGGCACACATCCGCTCCCAGACATCTCCAAGTCCATATACGGTGAAATGCTGAAGATGCTTCGCTTTTTTAACTTTATCTGCTCTCAGCTGTTTAAGTTTAAAATATTTTTCTTGTTTATTTTATTCCAAACAGATGGGTATCCGGACATTAAGATGAATGTAAAGTTTGTCCAAGATACATCCAAGTTCTGGTACAAGCCAGACATTTCCAGAGAGCAAGGTGAGTTCAAGTCCTCCAAAGTTGAAAACGTAAAGACATAAAAACTAAAAGCAGATGAACAAAAACAGCATGATTGTCCTTTTTCATTTGAATCTCCAATCTTCAGCGACTTTACTATCCAACCTGCTTCTTTCAGCCATTAATCTGTTGAAGGACAGGGAACCCGGGGCGTTCATTATCAGGGACAGCCATTCTTTCCGTGGAGCCTACGGTCTGGCTATGAAGGTGGCCTGCCCTCCACCGACCATTCAACAGAACAAAAAAGGTAACGTCTGTGACCCTATCAGCTCAAACCCCAAGAACCCTAAGTAGGTTTTCCTGACGTGCCAACTTTATTTTTTATTTGCCAGTTGGTGACATGACCAACGAGCTGGTGAGGCACTTCTTGATTGAGACGAGCTCCAAAGGCGTCCGGCTGAAGGGTTGTCCCAATGAGCCCTATTTTGGTGGGTTTGGAGTTTCTTCTGTTGGATTACTTTGCTCGTTGTAAAGATGGTCCAGTTTACCAGATTGAACACCTTATGCTTGCAGGGTGTCTCTCAGCATTGGTCTACCAACACTCAATGACTCCACTCGCGCTACCCTGCAAGTTGATGATCCCCACCAAAGGTCATTTTAACCCTCTGATGCATAGCAGCCAAAAACCATGAATAGGCATGTTAAAGGCCAGCATTCGCAAACCTCACAGCTTTAGAGAAGAAGCCGATCCTCAGCCCTGTTGTTCAGGCTTTGAGGCTACAGGAAGGAAAGTTCATTGTCGTTCGTCATTATGTACTTCGTTGTGGATTTGCATCTGTTGGTCCTGTAGAGAGGTTTTAAAAGTTAGCACGCCTGTTGATGTTATACTAAATATAAGCACCCCAACCATAAAAAGACATAAAAGGACGAAGCAACAACTGTGCTATCCTAAGACTGGCCTGCTGTTGTCTACTCGTAGATGCCCTGATACAGAATTTTGTTTCAAAATCTGCCTTCATATTCAACAAACTGACCAACTTGTTGATACCTATAGTTGTATAATCTACAATATGCATTAAAATAGCTTTCTACAATTTATAATTTTCCCCTAAAGACCCAAATGAAGAGGCACTAGAACTTGCAACACCTACTGACACTGTGGTTGAGCTTCTCAAGCAGGGAGCAGGTAAGAACGTTTATTTTACCATCAGTCACAAATACACAATAACCTGGATTTTAAGTATGTCTTCCTTTTTTGTACTCATGAACCATGAGACGATTGGTTGTTTTGTTGTTTTGTTTTTACCGTCTAAAGAGTCACATTTCCTTTCCTTTTAGCATATCTAGAGTGGCACAACTACCCCGTAAAATATTTCGACCAGTGATAGTAAAAGATATATTACTAGGGCTGCACGATATTTAGGGATGGGTACCGAATTCGGTACTTTTTAAGGTACCGACCGAATTCCACAGTCCCGACTGAGCACCGATTCACTTAATTTGAAATGGTGCCTCGTTTCGGTACCCGTCCTTCTTAACGAGAACTTGTCTAGACAGCTGCGCATGCGCAAGAGCGTTATGTCGTCGGTCGCTGCGAGCCAGTCGCTGCGAGCCAGTTGTAAACAGAGCAGCATGGTAGAAAGAAAGCACGCTAAAGCTTGGGTCCACTTCACTATATGTGATGGGTAACTGGGTGATGATGAAACCAGTGACAACGATCTAAGTGATACATCCTCATCTTAATCTGCTCCTGTAGGTAAATAAAATGTTTAAGATAACGTTAGTTTGATATGTTAGCTTCCGTTTCACTAATGGTGCGTTCGCCTTCTCCTCGGAACTCCGAATTTCCGACTAGAGGAACATGAACGTGCTCTAAAGTTTGACTTCACTTTACTAAATGTGACGGGTAATTGGGTGAAGATGAAACCAGTGACAACGATCTAAGTGTGAGGCATCATCATTTTAATCTGCTCCAGCAGTTAAATAAACTGTTTAAGATAACGTTAGCTTGAAAAATTAGCTTCCATTGCCACCAATGTTATCAGCTAATGGTGCGTTCGCTTTCTACTCGGAAATTCTAACTTCCCAGTAGGAAAAATCTATTGAAAAAGGACGGCAAAAGGAAAGAAGATACACAGTAAATTTAGTTCACAGTAAAGATGTTTGCTTCAGTTTAATTATCAGCTTATAAAACTACAAGGACGATGTTAAAATAAAAACAGTTGTGTGTTATTTATCGTGATATTTATCAAATATGGTTATATATTGAGAAAAATATATATTTAATTATAAAAGAGAATTAAAATATTAAACACTCAAAAGTATCGAAAATTGGTACCGTTAAGTACCGGTATCGATTCGTAGGTACCGGGAATTAGTACCGGATCGATTCAAATGTCAAAGGTACCCATCCCTACCTGCGATATTCGATAACAATGACTAAAATTGCAATGAGGATATTACTTGCGATAAATAAAAATGTAACTTAGGAACAAAAATAATCATTAAAATGGAAAATCAAAAGATGTGAGGAAAGGTAAAAAGAAAATAAACAAGAAAAGGCAATCAGTGGATCCCGGGAAAAGCAGAATCAGCAGAAAGAGCAGAACTAAGCTAACTCGTGTGTTTGCTAACCATCAAAATTAAGTGCCGTCCACCTTGGGGCGGGCATCTAACCTATGAGAACCCACACAATTGGCCGAATGGGTGAAGAGCTCTATTTTATTTGTTAAAAAAACATCATGCCTCCGTTTGATTTACAGAATGCATCATGTGTAGCAAACATTCGAGCTGACCATTCATTGCCATATTTATCTGTTCTTTGCGATATGCATATTGTGCATGCTGATATCGCGATAACGATATATTTATGATATATTGTGCAGCCCTAATATTTACAGACGTAAACCCTTTGGTCAGTGACAGGAAAACCCACACTGGTCAGAAAAATAACTTGAATCTAACAGAAGTAATAATAAATTGAAATTCTATGAAATTTAACCAATGAAAGTTAGACATTGCTTTTTAACCATGCTGGAATCAGGCCTGGACCAAAATGGTGGTACCCCTAAATTAATATTTTGTTACACAACCTTTTGAGGCAATCAAACAATCCCTGTACTTCTGCACCTCTCAGCTGGTATTTTGGCCCACTACTCATGAGCAAACTGCTCCACTTGTCTTAGGGTTGAAGGTCACCTTTTCCATAAGGCATGTTCCATGAGTTTATTATTGTTTAAAAAATTCCATTTAAGCATGGCTGAAAAGTAACATCTGACTTTAATTGGTTAAATTTCATAGAAGTTTTAATTATTGTTACTTTTGTCAAATTCAAGTTATTTCTGTGACCGTTGAGTTTTCTTTCATTAACCGAAGGGCGCCAGCAATGTTGTCCATGCTTGTTCTCTCGAATTGCAAACAGGAGCTAAAAATTAGGCATTTCAGCAAGGTCCAGGTATGTCTGGGATATTCAATTTCAATACAAAACAACATTTAACAACATTTTGTCATCCTTACTTTCCAGTACAAAAGATCCCAGAAGATGCTCATGGTAAATATTGATTTGCACGGTTTTGCACCACCACCCATTTTGACGGAATGTGCTTTAACAAGTTTCATTGCATGAACAAAACATTCCAAGTGACTGTTACTGGAATTAAATATTGATTTAAATGTGAGAAAATGATTGATTCTTCTATAATAAAGTTTAAAAAAGCAAAAGGTCACTAGGATTGTGAAAAATGCTAAACAAGCTTCAAATGTGGAATGTTGGATCTCAAATCTGCTTTAATGGTCATTTGAAAGTCAAAGATGAAAACCATGGTAGCCTTTGGAAGGTTTCGTCTTCATTTCAACCTTTTGCATCAATCAGTACTACATACCCAGCTTCTATTTGAAAGAAAACACATCAAAGAGGCAAAATTGGCAAGAATTTGTTACCTTACAAGCTCTAAGAAATGAGGCTTGATCAGCTGTATGCTACATATGGTCAATAACCTAATGGATACTTCTGTCTGAGGAATACGTTGGGTTGAACGTCCTCAAGTCACCGCAAACATCATGATAGAAGTGTCTATCCCGGCACTATCACTGGGATGTGTTCTTGTTTGTTTGGAAATAAGAATGTTACTCTAGAAAACCTGAAACAAAACAATTTACTTCTAAAAGCTGATTTTTTTTTATTTTGCAGGAATCTTAAATTAAAAGACAACATCTGTAGTTTTTGAGTAATTCTACCAAATTTGGTGCCATTTTTATTTATCTGTTGCACAAATTGTGCAGTTCATGAAAGCCTTGCACCATCGTCTTCCGCCCGACCGCTTAGATACTCTTTCCTCACAACATCAGTTCCTTATTTAACAGTGAGCCTTCGCTTTTTATTTATAGCCTGCAATGTTCTCTACATCAACTCTGTGGACATGGAATCTCTCACGGGGCCTCAGGCTGTCGCAAAGGCAATTAGTGAGACGTTGGCAACCAACCCTCTTCCAGATGCCACCACCGTCCACTTTAAAGTGTCCACGCAGGGCATCACGCTCACCGACAGCCAGAGGAAGTGTGTGCAATACCAATGCAATAGGTATTTATAAACACTGAATGAACATTTTCTTTTTCCAACATGTTGTTTGCTTCGTTGTCTTCAGGATTTTCTTCAGACGGCACTATCCCATCAACACAGTAACTTACTGTGAAGTCGACCCCCAGAACAGAAAGTAAGAGTCATGTTATCGGGGTTTATTTTAAACATCATTCACTTGTGATAAATTAAAATCTTTTTTTTTATTTCTATAGATGGGGCAAAGAAGGAGGTGGCTCAGTGAAGTAGGTTTACATGTTTTGCAGATGACGCAACACTGTGCATGAAGGGTTTAGAAAGTTTTAGTCATATACTGACAGTGAATTTATGTTTTGTGTCCTTTTCAGGCTTTTTGGGTTTGTCGCAAGGAAACAAGGAAGCACAACAGACAATGTCAGCCATCTGTTTGCAGAGCTGGACCCAGATCAACCTGCTTCAGCCATCGTCAGCTTTGTCTCCAAAATGATGAAGCGGTGAAACTTCACGCTGCAACTGGCCATCGTTTTTTCTTTTGCAAAAACATGATGATGCCCTTTTCTTCTGTCCTCTTGGTTCGTTTCATCCCCTCTCCTTTTTCCGCCTTGCTAGTTTGTCTTTCTTGGAGTGAAAGCTTCAGCTTGGGTGCAGAGAAGAAGTGTTTGAGGACGTGTTGTGTGGAGTTGTGCACGTGACAAACGTTAGAGGATATCGTGGAGAGATTTAATCACAGGGAGCATCTTGATAAAGATTAAAGGAACAATGCAAAGTTCAGTCAGGGAACATGAGAGGATGTTTCGGGGTTTTCTGAAGAATCTGTTGCTTTACCAAAGGTAGCTGCAATAGTGCAAGAATGATGTAGCTATTAAGCCATTATAATTTACTCTTTTTAAAAGATGAAGTATTGAACAAAAAAAATCTGGTTTCTTCTTGAACTTGTCTTCAGGAAAAAAAAACATAAGAGTAAAAAAAAAGTTGGCCTCAACGGCCTATAGCAAAAGAAAATGTCTGAAGACATTATGCATGTTACCTTGATCTTTAAGCTCGGTTCTTCTACTTTCCACATTAAAGTCACTATGAAATCCTTAGAGGTCATTTTATGGGTCTGCTATGTGTTGGAAAGGGCTCTGCAGTGAAACAACAACTGATCTAAACTGTGCATAGCAGACCTTACTCAAAAAAAACAACAAAAAAGACACAAAAAACTAACTCTGAGGTCACTTTTTGTCTGTGCAATCACCCTCCAGTCTTCTGGATGAACTCCTGAAATCGCCATGCTTTCCTTTGGTGCAACAAAGACACTTTGTCCACCAGATGGCACCACACGTTCAGGCTTGCACATCCAAGTGGACTCTTTCTCCCTCATCATCATCCTGCTTGCAGTAGTTGATCTGTGGATAGACGCTGCCACTGAAACACACTGGAAAGTACCAGGAACTGGCCCGTTGACCTGGACCTATGCACTGTTCTTTATGCATGTTAATGTCCCAAAAATCCCCCCCCCCCCCCCCCCCCCAACTGCTACACTCAACATCACTGAAAACATACTGTGTGCATTAAGAAAAAAAATAACAGCCTTTAAACATTGAGGTTGGATGACTTGTCAAAGACTGCATGAAATAGGCATTTTTGTACTCTTAGAGCTCTAAAGGTAAAAAAAAAATTGACAACCCATTGTTTGAGTGATGGCCAGGTTTTAACTTTTCGTTTTACTCAAAGAAAAGAGAAAACAACCCAAAAAAGCACCTGTTGAATTAACTCAAAAGAAATGATTTTAGTTTTGATAAGCGCCTCGTGATTTTTATCTTGAGAGGCGCTATAGAAATGATATCTTCTTCTTCTTCTTCTTCTTCTTCTTCTTCTTCTTCTTCTTCATTTTGATATCCACCTAGCTATTTGGTTGGACCTATTAAACTAATAAATTCAATGGTAAAACTAGAGAATGAAATCAATTAAACAATGTTTCTGTTAATAATAGCAAGTCTAGTCTAGTTGAGCAGAGGAAATGATGGTGCAGGAGCATAACACATTTCTGTTAAGTAAATTCAACAGGTGCTTAAAGTAATTATTTTTCTTTCATACCAAAATTAATATTTTGGTTTCTCAGATTTCATTCATTGAGTGTTCAGATTTCATTTAACTACATTTCGGGATTTAAAAAAACAAACAAACAAAAAAAACACACAGTACACAATGCCTGCTCGTTAAATACACACTCCGCCATTCACAATAAGCTAAGGAAAATTAATATTGATATAAATGTACATAGATATACTAATTTGAAAGGTGACATAGCGAAAAAGTATTTATTTTTGTTGCTTTGGTCCCTCATGATTACTCATATATACATATATTGTACAGTCTAGATAACGAAAATTGGTTGAAAAAAAAACTTATTTTGGCTAATGATTTCAAAGTTTGAGGACTTTGAAATGTGTTTGAATATATGGTGTACATTACTTTGTACATGTTTGTTTTCAGCTCATCTTGTTTTTCCCATTTTTGCTTTCTCTCTGAATAAGGAGAATGGACAAGTCTTGAGTTGCATGGACAGATGCATCTGACTGCAGCTAAAATGCTAGAATTAGAAGCAAAGAGGAACTAAAAGGCAATATGTGAACAGCTGTTTTCACCCATGATGGTTTATAATTATAATTTTTGCCAAAGATTCACTCGTAGCATGTTTTTTTTCTTTATTATTTAATTTACACCATTTTCTCAGCTAAAGTAGCATTTTTTAAAGGGTTGGATAAATGTTACAGGATATGAAGTTTACTCATTTTTGGGGGGATTTGTTTGTGCTCCTAAAAATGTGAAACTAGACAAAGGCACTTCACAAAAACAAGGAGTGCCATTCATTTGATTTCCTGTGCGATGCTAACGCTCAGACTGCCAAAGGTGTCTTCTTCTACGAGAGTCAGCGATTTATTTATTCTTATTTATTCTTTTTTTTCCCAGACTTTTTTGTAACCTTGTTTTATTTACATTTTCGCTGTCAGTGTTTCTGATGAATGTATGGTGGCGCTTTTTTGGAAGCAATGAGGTACAGAGGATTTTATTTGACTACTAACAAGGTTCACATCATTTGTGCTCATTTGGAGAGAAAAACATCACAAATGATACATGGAAGTGCATCGTACTTGTTGGCTTCAAGTCAAAAGTTACCTTGTGCTGGTTAGAAAAAATAAAACTATTAAATAAAAGGTTCTGCAACCTCTTGTACAAGTGGTATTTGAATGTTGTGTGAATGGCTATCAAGGCTGTACAAAAAGAGTCTCGGATTTTTGCGTATCATTTACGTTACATTGTCATGGCTTACCTGTTCCTAAAGAGAAAAAACCAATAAAGCAATACAGATCAGTTACATAAAGGCTGAATTATTATTTTTTTTATGATTAGAATTCAAGTTTCTTGCAAGTGTCTCAGGTCTTGAAACTTTAAAGCTGGCCCAGACCATCACACTAACACCACCATTCCCGGCTGTTGGTGTCCGCCAGATGGAACGAGACCCACACCTTCTAGAAAATTCTACTGTTGTCTCATCAGTCTACGGAATAATTGTTCTTTGTCTTTGGGGATCATTAGGATGTTGTGAGTGAAAGTGAGTTGGGTCACTTTTGGTCTAAGAACGCTTCCATAGAGGTAATTTTTGTCTGTTTCTTTTGTGAATTTGTTGAATTGCAACCTTAAAGTAACAGACCAGGTTACTGCTCCTCCGCCCTACTGGTTGAAAGTGGAATTACAACCGCCGTGAACAACCTTGCTATAGGTGCTGTTCCTAGTGCTAACAACAAGCAAACACTAACATGCGCCAACTAATACTAAAATAAAAATGAACCATGGAATAAAAAGCCACACTGTTGGACTAAATATATTATTACTTGCAAGTCCAGTAGCAACAAAGCCAGGTCATAATCAGTCCATAATTTAGTAGCCGCCTTTAGCTCCCTTAACCTAGTGTAGGCCACGCCGATGTTCACTCTGGTTTTAGCACTTTCCTTCACCACCAAAGACATTACTCTCTTACATTTACTTCCAGCCTCTGCCATGATGCCAACAGAAAAAGCAAAACATCTTCTTTTTCTTCTTCTTGTGCTTTTTATTGATAATCAGCAAACTGAACATACTAACTGCTAGCATTACAGCTAACAGCTGTAAAGCAGGAAAAGTGTGCCCCCTATAGGCCACCTACCCTCAAAACACTTCACTGCAGAGGGGTGTCAAATATGAAACCGGTCAAGTTTCTAACTCAAGAATCACTGAGATCAATTTGAAAGCTCTAGTTTAAAGTTTAAAAAATTATTATGTCAACCAAGTGAGCCCGACAGTGCTTAGATGCTGTTCTCTGTTAAATACAGTTTAAACTTGACATGGTGTGTTACTTTTTGAGATGTATTTAACCCACTTCCTGTTGTCTGACAAAACAGTTCAGTTCCACCAGCCATCTAGTCAGAATCCACTTCAACAAAACTTGTCTGAAAACACAAAATAGGCTAAAATTTCCTAAAAAGCCACACCTCATGTGTTCTAAAGAAATTCCAACTTTAAAAGTGTGGAACACTGAAAAGAATTTTTTCATGATTATTTCTGATCATAATCAGTCACTCTGAGTTTAACATGCACACTGAACAGGAAAATAGTCTCCTACACCTAGCTGCATTGCCTTCTGGTTGAAAGTAGATGGTGAAAATCTGGATTTGAAAATCCTGATAAATCTACGTCACACTGTCACGTAACATTTATGGACTCATCCATCTTGACTCACAACAGGGAAGGCTGTTGTTGGATTAGCATCTAGCTAGTGGAAGCTAACCATTAGCATTAGCAACTTCACCACACAGCAGGAGTGTGTTCAACACCTTAGAGGGTTATTTACATTTTTTCACAAATGTTAAAACTGTATGGAGGCTCTGTAGATTTGTGGATGTCCCAATTTGATTTTGATGACCTCTTTAGTTTGACTTCTCATGTCTGAAGAGCTTTGAACATTCTTTGTTTTCATTACTGACTTCTTTAGGAAGTCTTTCCACATGAAAACCATGACAAAAGGAAAGGCCTTGGTCACGGTTAAAGAAGCTGTCAGAAATTAAAACTTGTAGTCGTGTCATACCTCTTGGGTCAAAGTAGCAGAGCTGAGGACACATGTGACCGCTGGTTCACCTGCTGCCCTTCTCATATTCACATCCCGTCAAGTCATTTTACTGTCAAACCATTGCCTGTTTTCTGTTCCACTCAGGTGCCCCTCAGTGATCGTGATGCTGATTTATCTTCCCTAATTCCTGTTAATTATTTGCATTTTGCCATGTAGCCTGCAGCCCATTACACAGTTCAGCAACTGAAAATGTCATCTATCTGTAGACAATATTTGCTTTGGCCTCATAATGTAGATTAAAACACTTCAAAGCACATGTCCAGTTGTTTTGGTGCAGGAATCTGTGGAAAAACTGTATAATTATTTTGCTTCTAGATGAGTCTTTAAATGATCTCAGTTTTGAGAAACTTGTTCTGACTCCACGGATAACTCCTAGCAAGTATGGTGTGTTTCCTTTTCCCTTGGTGAAGGTTCTGCTGTTCACTTGCAGGTGGCCTGTACACACACACTGATGATGAAATTCTCAGAGACACTCCTCTGTAGTCATGATAACTATTTCTACAGATTAACTGAATAAGTCAATGCACTGAAGGGGAATCGGAGAAAAGACTCATCTTCAGGGAGGGTTTGGGGTGTACTCACAGTCGCTTCTCTTGGTGTTCATGTCTTACTGTGGCCTGAAGGCTCTCATCCATAAATATTTACAGTGTTTAGCTGTAAATAATCGTCAGTGTAATGGAGAATGTTTTTTCTTCCTCCTTTCCCAGGCTCAAGGAGAAGGGGTCTTTACAGGGGTGCCTAATCCTTGTCCTCAAGATCCCCTATCCAGCTTGTTTTATATCTCACCCTGTTGAATCGAGTGGCTAAATCACCTGTTCAACTGCTAATCAGGCTTTGCAGAACATTGCTAATCACCACTGATTCAAATCAGGTGTGTTGAAACAGGGAAACTTCTAAGACATGCTGGATAGGGGATCTCGAGGACCAGAATTGGTCACCCTTGGTCTAAAATAACCAATCAACAAGGTCAAGGTCAGCAGATTCTTCAATAGGTTAAGATCAAGGTGGATAGCTGCCATCTGAAAGCAATTCTAGTGTGTTTATGTCAAAGTTTCACTATGAATGTTAATGTTTAGGGATTTTGGCGCCCTACAAAAGAAGCAGCAGTGAGTTGAACGATGGAAAGGATGTGCAGCAGGAGTTTGTTTGTTTGTTTATTAAGATCCCCATTAGCCACTGTTAAAACAGTTGCTATTCTTCCTGGGGTCATAACATCATCAAAAAAAAAAACATTATTCGTGCATCAACACTGGGCTCACAAACCAACAATCCATTTCACCATACAATATAAATCTCCACTATAAGAGCACACCGCATTCCACCCAATACAGCACCAAAATAACGTACATTTCCCGTAACATAAAACGCAAATTACTCCACACATACTAGACAACAAAACATAAAAATAATAAAACATAAAACTCATCTTCCTCAAACTCGTGTAAAAAGGGTATAAATGAATATCCGCAACCTCCTACAAAAATCACTCATTTGTAGCTGACCCCTCAAGAATTGTGGTAAACTATTCCATTCCACCATAGCTCTATACAATGCTGACCAATGTAGAAAATTAGTTTGACTAACTGGCAACAAAAAGCAGCCATCAGCTTGACATGTAGCATTTTGGTGAACATCTCTAAAAAATGTCAACTGATTTAAAAAAGTCTGTTGTCTGTGTATTTACAACATTCCTAATAAATTGCATAAGTACTTTATTCTACTCCTTACACCCATCCATGTTAGAGCAGTATGCATATCCTCACAACTTCTTCTAAAAGAACAATTTAAGACTAATCTGGCAGCCTTATTTTGTGCGACCTGTTACTTATTTAAATTCACTTCCCGTAGTAGCAGCCCAAATTACTGCACAATAGTCCAAGAGACACAAAACAACAGCTTCAACTAATATTCAATTCAATTTTATTCATATAGTGCCAAATCATGACAAGAGTCGTCTCAAGGCACTTCACATAATAAACATTCCAATCCAGGTCAGTTCATTATGCCAATCAGAAAAAATGTTTCCTATATAAGGAACCCTGCAAATTGCAATCCTCATACTAAGCAAGCAAATAGCGACAGTGGAGAGGAAAACTCCCTTTTAACAGGAAGAAACCTCCAGAGGATCCTGGCTCAGTAGAAGCAGCCATCCTCCACGACTCACTGGGGATCGAGAAGACAGAGCAGACACACACGCGCGCGCACACACACACACACACACACACACACACACACACACACACACACACACCAAGCAATGTGTCTATGGTTACATTGTGATTTCTTAGTAAATAATCTATTTGGCGAGAGATAAACATTATTGTATTTATCCCAGTGAATCTATAATTAAATGGGTGAACAAGCAGTAGCACATCCAACGTCAAGGAAAGCAAAAAGTTATTATCAGGAGAGGGAGAATGTTTAAGTGGTTAGCAGCAGTGTGCTAGACAATGGCCCCCTCCATGAGGCCACCACAGCTCAGCAGAACATCATTGTAGCTTCTTCTGGGGAGAAAAACACTTAGAGAAAAAATGAAGTTAACAGCTGAAATAGCAGGAAATAATACAGTTAAAGAGCAGATTGTAGAAGAAAGTAGTGATCAGTGTATCCTCCAGCAGTCTAAGCCTATAGCAGCATAACTACAGAGATAACTCTGGATAACCTAGTCTTTTAGATGGAGGCATGTTGGATGCAGGGCAAGGGAGAGCCGTCTTTACCGACTGTACACTCCACCTCCCTGTACTCCCCCACTTGTCCAGATTTAGGCTAACATCAGATTTTAACCATAGGCCCTATCAAATAAAAATGTTTTAAGCCTAGTCTTGAAAGTAGACAAGGTGTCTGTCTCGCGGACTAAGGCCAGGAGCTGGTTCCACAGGAGAGGAGCCTGATAACTAAAAGATCTGCCTCCATCCTAATTTTAGATATTTTGGGAACCACCAGTAAACCTGCAGTCTGAGAGTGAAGTGCTCGGTTAGGAACATATGGAACAATCAGATTACTGATGTATGATGGAGCTTGATTATTAAGAGCTTTATGTGAGTATGTGAGAAGGAGGATCTTAAAATCTATTCTGAATTTAACAGGTAGCCAATGTAGGGAAGCTAAGACAGGAGAGATATGATCTGTCTTTGTAATTCTCATCAAAACTCTAGCTGCAACATTTTGGACAAGCTGAAGACTTTTAACTACATTCTGTGGACTTCCTGAGAGTAATG